TGTCCTTCTTCACTCTTGATCCGTTGGATCATAGGGTTGTGATACCCTGTCTGTGGAGTTAGCTTATCGAATAGTAGCTGTCCTGCTATGATCACCCGATCGTGATTAAATTCTAAGAGCGTTTGTGCGTCGAAAGCTCCAGCTGTAAATCCAGCGTCTCTCAGCAGCTGAATAAGCTGATGCAATGCCTCCGACTGATTCGAGGTCACTTTCGGTGGCGATACTGGACCTTGGATCGACCTGATCAGCTTAGGTTTCAGCACCCTTAGGACTGGGTCTTCTGCAAGGAGTTTCTTCAGTTGTTGCCAATGGAATTCTCAGGTGATCCGTTCCCATTGCCAGCCTTCTGATTCCACATCCTGACCTTCTGCCTTGATCTATTGCTTGTTTCGATGTGGCTCTGCCGTCTTCGTCTTTGAACGGGCCAACTTAGGATTGTGTTTCCTTGCCTTTAATTGGGCGGTAGTTCTGGATGAAGATCTTTCAGTTTGACTGAAGGATTTCCATCTGGCAGATCGTGCTTTGCAGCACGATCCGCGGTGGTCCCCGAAGGGACCTCAGAATGGGGTTGAAGTTTTTTTATCCAGATCAGCTTGGTGGTCTTCCTCTTTGACTTTCTTGTCATCGTATCCCCTCCCAAAGCTATGATGGTCTTGAGATCCTTTCTCTTCGCGCGTCTGTGGCGATCCTTATTCCGCTGACGCTCCAATCCTAGGTTCAGTGTTGATCTTATAATCCTCATCTCGGGACTCCAGGTAAAACCACGAGTCACCAGAAGATCCGAGCACGCGCACCAATGTGGTGGAGTGGGGTTCTCTCATTTTTTTAGGCTATCCCGACTCTCCACTGGCGCCCAGACGACCGACTAACGGAGGGGGTACTCCGAATCTGCTTGCACTTGTTTCCTTCTTACCTTGTGTACCCGTCGGCAGGGCAGGTTGCACTCTTCTAGGTGGACTCGACAAGATGCTAAACTTGACCGTTGTAGAGATTGGCGCTGATTAGATGAAAAATCCTCACCCGATCGCGTGTTCTGGGTTGGCGCTTTCCTAGAGTCGCCGTGATCTGCCCTGATCACCATGTGCCAAAATGTGTACTTGAGTCGCGAGCCTTTCTGGACACTTGAGCCGTCTCGCGATCTTGTACTTCAACCGATACGGTTGGCTGCGTCCGATCGCAGTAGAGGTGTGTTGAGAGTCCTAGCACTCCTGGCCAAATAGCTCCAGGAGTGATCGTTCTATCCTTGATGTCGAGATTCTCAGACATCGGGGGCCAAAATAGCCAACCCGGGAGAAGATCGACACGAATTTGTTTAGAAGCAAATTGAACTCTTTATTACTCTGTTACCAAACAAATAGCTCTATTGGAATTACAAAATGCCTGGCCAAACTATCCAGGAATTGATACGTCTCGATGACACGCGTTGTCCTTGACATCGGGAGGCCAATATACGTTCCTGCCCGGAATTCCCTTGTATCTTGCGTAGACGGACCCATGTCGAATTTCTTGATCACATGGTTACTAAGCGCATAAAATCACGTTGAGAGACGAGCCCTGGCCAATCGATCCAGAAGCAGATACTTCTAGCACGCGTGACAACATCTGTCTTCGGGAGGCCAATTTATGTTCCTGCCCGGAATGAAGTCGACATGTGCCCTTTGAGGTAAATTGAACTCTGTCTAATGTTAACCAATCAGACCCTCACACCTTACCCCTATAACTCAGAAAATCAGATGACACTCGTCGCCTCTACAGATCGCCCCTTGTACCTATGTGGCACAGACCAGATCCAACAACCGTCTGATCGCATCAGGGCATGGTCCACGCCAGATCGCGGCACCTTGATCGTGGCCCCTAATCGCGGTCCCCTGATCGCGGTCCCTTGATCGCGGCCCGTGATCGCGGCCCGTGATCGCGGTCCCTGATCGCGGTCCTCTGATCGCGGTCCCCTGATGGCGGTCCCTCAAACGAGGTCGTTTTCGCCGCTTGGAACCATTCTAACTGGACGAGATACTTCCGTGAATGATCCCAACGGTGCCATCCATATGATCGGTCCTCGTTCCACGATCGTTCCGCCGGTTCCCACTCCGTACTTAGACATACGTTCGAGGTTTTATGACACCGACCTTGATCGACTTTACCACACGTTCGAGCAACTTGAGAACGAACGTTCGACTCGTTCTCTTCGTGATGAACTGGCTGCAGCTCGTCGGGACATCGCTGAGCTGCGTGAACAGGTCGCTTCGCTAGTCGACCATACTAGTTCTTTGAAACCGGACCACCTGAAGGTGGTCTCGGCTCTCGACCGTAGAGGTGTTCTTTGCATCTCGAAACGTGCTCGTACTGATATTTCAAGCGGAGACGACCAACATAAACGTAGGATGCGTGCGCATTTTACGGGGCAGTTCAATCGTGTATGCGTTGCCCAATTAACGCAACACTCGAAATGGAACGATGTACCTGGGCAGCAATTTCCTGCTGCCCACGTTTGTCACTGCGTGCTTCGGTACGTTTACTGTAGACAGTAAAACTAGGTCTTTTTCATCAAATGAAAGAACATTTGCTCTTCCATGTTTGTCTGCGTTTCTTTTCTGCTTGTCTAGTGCATCTGCAATAGAGTCTTGAACGAAGCGGACAACCGCTTCGTGAGTCAGCAGAAATTCCTCTGCTGATTCATCCTTGTCAACAGCAGTGTGCTTCGTGTGCACTGCTGAAAGAACGTTGTCTATACCAGTGAGGGTGTCATCGTCCTCACTTTGGCGGTCATTGGCGATGCTGAATATGCCAGAATCATCGTCATCATCATCATCGATATTTACCCCCATCGACATCGGCATCCATCACGTCGACACCATTGTCGGCGGGTGATGAGCAAGAACCAGATCGGGTTTTGTTCGAGCGATTCCACACCCCCCCTTAAACTAGATTCACACTCTAAGAAGCCGGGCAAACGTGGATGAGATAGGCCATTCACGAAGAACGTTGTATGCGTTGTCGATGCATGCACCGAGGTGACGGCGAATTCCGCCATCGGCAAGAACTCACTCCAGCTCGTAAACGAGTGGACATACCCTCGAAAGATCTCTTCGAGAACGCGGTTGACGCGTTTCGTTTGACCATCTGTTTCGGCATGGTCAGAAGTTGACATCGTCAAACGTGTTCCAAGTAAACGGAACACGGATCGCCAGAACTCCGCTGTGAAGCGGGATCCCTATCGGACACGAGCTCACGGGGTAAACCGTGAAGTCGGAAGATAGTATCGATGAAGACACGCGCAACGCCCTGGGCTGTGTTAGAATCCGGTACAGCAACAAGATGTACCATCTTGCTGAACCGATCAACAAACACAATAATACCCGTATTCTTATGAACGTCTTTGGGAAAACCAAAGACGAAGTCCATCGATACGGACTGCCAACACTCTGCCGAAATCGGAAGAGGCTGTAATGGTGTGCGGGATTAAAGACTAGGCTTTACCCGTTGACAAACTTCGCAAACGCGAATGTGTTTGCGCACAAACTCATACTGGCGGGGCCAGTAGAAGTCACGACTCACCATGAGATACGTCTTTTCTCTACCGCGATGTCCACTTGTTGGGGCATCGTGACACTCATACACGATGCGCAATCGCACATCATTATGAGCCGGAACGACGACACGAGGTGTGTCGCCGTGGACTGCTGTATAGTACAACAGTCCGTCACGAACATAATACCGTTCGGTCGAATAGCGGTATTGAGACGACAAGCTTTTCAAAGCTTGATCACACGGATTGGATACGTAATCCATCAACCGCAGAAGAGACTCATCTTCTGTGTATGCTTCCCGCACGTCATCGAGAAGATTCTACGACGGAACACTCACTGTTAGTGTCGCGACAGTGGGATCGCCCCTACTGTTGGGTGCGCAGTCAGCTCGAAATCGGGCCGACGCGAAAGAGCATCAGCGACGACATTAAGTCGTCCTGGTTATACTCGACGGAGAAGTTGTACTCCGCGAAGAAAGACAGCCGCCCCGTCATTCGTTGCGAGATGTGTGGACTGGTTACGGCCGTGCGTAACGACTTATGGTCGGTATAAACGATGAAGAGCCTATCTCCTAAGAGATATACCCGAAACTTGGCCAGTGCGTATTTCATGGCAAGTACTTCCTTGTCATGAACCGGATAATTTCTCTCAGCTGCTTGCAGCTGACGCGATTGATAACAGATGACGCGCTCAACGCCGTCTGAGTCGTATTGCGTTAACGCGCACCCGATTGCAAAATCGCTGGCGTCACAGAACACACGAAATGGCCTATCTTGATCTGCAATCGCCAAGACAGGCGATTGCACCAAGCTTTTATTGATGCCTTCAAAAGAGTGCTGACACTCAGCGCTCCATGACCACCTCTCGTTTTTCTTTAGCAGACGAGAGAGATGTACTGTAACGGGGCACCCTGAAGCTTGTACTGGTGACAGTACAAGCTACTTATTCTGATGACAGAATAAGGCGGTGCCTCGGAACTTCACGTACACTCGTACGTGCAGAGGAAGACGGTAAGAAGATGCGAGTACTTGGTTAAAGTAAAAAGTAGAACTGCATTTAGTATAGTTAATGTCTGCAATAAATCACTATTTATCTTCATCTAACTATGTCTAAATACAAATGTGTAAATCAGTTATCTGCTCACCACTCATTGCGTGCGTCTGTCGTGGCGCGTCTTCGTTGGTTGATATAATGGCCTAGATCAACCAATTAGGAACTACTCGTAAGTGCTACAGAATATTTGTCCTTATGACAATATTCTGAGAGTATAACTCTTATAGTTATATTCTATCAACAATTTCTTATAAATTGTTATGAACGATTCACCCCGTTACATCACCCCCCCTTGACCATCAGTCACTTTTTAGTAACTGATTGACTAAATGGATACTCGTCCCAAATCATTTGGGACAGGGTTTGCGCTTGTTGGTCCGCGTCCACTTTCCAACATTTCATCGCATGGTTAACAAGCCCATGCGGTGCGCGAGCAAGGCCGCCGAGAGCGCGTCTGCACGTCTCTGTGCGGACGCCGAAGCAGAAACAACAGCAACTAATGTCTCATCGGTTGCTGAAGCGACTCAGCCTGTGTCACTTGGTGATGCAGGCGCTCGTCATGAAGACACTCATGTCTTCACACAGTATGAGCTCGGTGTCTCGTACTCTCCCGATACGGAAGACGGATCTGTATCAACGGCGATCGAAACCAAGCCGCCTTCCAAGCGTGGCATGGATGTTGCTTTGCGTCGTAGCATCTTTGGTTCATTTGATGATTCATATGAACCATCGCCAAAGCGAAGGCGCTCGAGGTCGCGATACTCGGGCGCTCACAGTGGTGTCGGTTCTCCTATGGACACCACTTCACAGTGAGGTGCCAGTCCTTCTGTCGGCACGTCGCAGGAAGAGCGGGACCGCAATGTGTTGCGTCTCGCTCTAGAAAAGAAGGCATGGATGCCTCCGAAATCAGTCATGGATCTCTTGTCGACGACGACGAGTGATCGTTATCGAACACGATTGTTCGATTCGTCAAGGATCCATCACCTTGACCCCAGCGCGAAAAACTATCGCGCTGAACACGAATTCTTCATCGATGCTTTCTTTAGACATCGATGGTACAGTGGGAATCACAAACGTGATGGTACCTCACTACTTCAAGCGTGGAGCGCCTACATCCATAACCTCGAGGATGTAGGTCGTGACGCTTGGAACGACAAACTTATCAAAGCTCGTGATAAGTTTGAAAAGCGAACCCCGACTGGTGCACGCTACAAGCTGCATCGTCTGTCAAGGGAGAAAGGATTACCCTGCCTCTCTTGGGAGACTCGTGCCCATGTCGTGTGAACAACTCTGCACGAGCACCTAAGGAGGCGTACCTCCTTACCAGCCCGTGGTGGCGCGTACGTTTCTCTAGTGAGTTGTATGAAGGGATTGACAACCTGAAATCCCTTTACGACCGTGTCGGAAAGACTTTCTTCGGCGGTCCTTCTGCGGCACAGGATGTGCCGCGTCGTACTGCTCAACCAGACCCAGTACGTCGATCATCAGTTGGGAGAGGGGCTCCCAAGTATCCCAGGACGGGGGATAGCCGCACCACCGGACGAGATAACTCGTCCCACGTCCGTTTACGTCGCGGTGGTTTAACAGCTGCTCAACCAGATAGAGCTGGCCACCGCGAGAGTCCTCTAATGGCGGTGAAGGAGGAGGGAAGACGCTCTCCACACGATCATGTGGATCGGTGTGTTCCCGAGAGTTTCTTTGATCGCGTAACGCAAGGGTTACGCGGCGATCTCGAACATGAGCGGGACAGGCGTCTCCAAATGGCGGACACTGCCTCGAAGCATCGAGCTGAGTTTGCCCAGCTTGAGAACGAGAGAGATTTGACATCTCTTCGTGACGAGCTAAGGGTAGCTCGTGGGATTGCTGATCGGTCTCGGGCTGAGATAACTGCTCTTCAGATCCTTGTTGATGCCCACCATCGGTAGCACAAGGCTCTCTGCGAGATGCTTGAGCACAAGGGCGTTCTTCATCGGAAGAAGCAGCGTACTGATGGTACGGCTTAAGCCGACCAACGTAAAACGTGGGATGCGTTCGCATCTTACGTGGTAACTGGATCGTGTATGCATTGCCTAGGCGGTGCAATACACGAAATGGGCCGATGTACTTGGGTAGTAGTTTACTGCTACCCAAGTTAGTCACTACATGCTTTGGTAGATTAACCGTAGACAGTAGGACTAAGTCACCTTTATTAAATAAAAGAGTGTTTGTCCTTCCACTCTTGTCAGCGTTTTGCTTTTGCTTATCCACCGCTTCGGCGATGGAGTCTTGCACAAAACGGACTACCGTTTCACGAGCCAGTATGAACTCATCTGATGACTCGTTAGCTTCAGTGCGCTGTGAGCGCACTGCAGCAACATCAACCTTTTCTTCAGTGAGGGCTTCCGCACTCTCACTGGGATCATCTTCTTCAGTGAGGGCTTCCGCACTCTCACTGGCATCATCTTCTTCGATGCCGATGTTATCGATATCGGCATCAGACGCAATGACCTCGTCGCCAGAGCGTGATGAGCGTGAACCAAATCGGTTTTTGCTTGCGCGAGTCCCTCCCCCCCTTAAACCAGAGTTACACTCTAGTAAGGTGGGTACACGCGGATGGCGTAAGCCATTCACGTAAAACGGTGTATGTGTCGTGGACGCATGCACCGAGTTGTTAATGGCAAACTCTACCATGGGCAAGAACTCACTCCAACTCTAAAAGGAGTGTACGTATCCTCGAAGTATCTCTTCAAGGACACGATTGGCACGTTCCGTCTGACCATCTGACTCTGGATGATCAGATGTTGACATCTTCAAGCGCGTTCCGAGTGATTTGAACACGGAACGCCAGAAATCAGCAGTGAAGCGTGAATCTCTGTCTGATACGAGTTCACGGGGCAACCCATGAAGTCGGAAGATGGTGTCAATAAAGACACAAGCACAGCCACTTGCCGTGATTGTCTCTGGTACAGCCACAAGGTGTACCATTTTGCTGAATCTGTCAACAAATACGAGAATACCCGTGTTCCCGCGTGCGTCTCTGGTAACCCGAAGACGAAATCCATTGAGATGGATTCCCAGCACTCTGCCGGAACCGGTAGAGGCTGTAAAGGTGCACGCAGTGAAGGACTTGACTTCACTCGTTGACAGACTTCGCATGCGCGAACATACTTTCGCACAAACTGATACTGGCGGGGCCAGTAAAAGTCTCGACTCACCGTGAGATATGTTTATCCCGGCCACGATGTCCTCCTATAGGAGCATCGTGATACTCGAACATGATCCGCAAACGCAGATCAGTATCATCTGGAATGACAACGCGTGGTGTGTCACCAGAAACGGCTGTATAATACAGTAAACCGTTACGGGTAGTGTATCGATCTGATGCAGGTCGATACGCAGGCGATAATCGTTTCAAGGATTCTCGGGATGGTTGGGAGAGATGTGACAACAACTTCACTATCTCACCATCTTGGGCGTATGCCCGCCTCACATCATCATACAATGTTGTAGATGGGACTGAGGACGTCATAACCGCAACAGTGACTGTCTCACTGTTGGGTTTCGCGACTGTTTCAAAGTCGGGACGACGTGAGAGTGCATCAGCAACGACATTAAGTCGTCCTGGTTTGTACTCGACCGTAAAGTTGTATTCTGCAAAGAATGACAACCACCGCGCCATTCGTTGTGAAAGGTGTAGGCTGTTCACTGCCGTGCGTAATGACGCATGGTCAGTGTAAACAATGAAGGGTCTATCTCCTAATAGATAGACTCTGAACGTCGCGATTGCATACTTCATGGCAAGGAGTTCCTTGTCATGCACTGGATAGTTCCGCTCAGCTGGTTGCAGCTGACGCGACGGATAGCAGACGACGCGTTCAACGCCTTTAAGATCGTACTGCATTAATGCACAGCCGATTGCGAAATCGCTGGCATCACAGACCACATGAAATGGCCTGTCCTGGTCGGCTATTGCTAGGACTGGGGATTGTATCAAGCTCTGCTTGATACCCTCAAAGGAGCGTTGACATTCAGCGTTCCATAACCACCTCTCGTTCTTTTTCAACAAACGAGAGAGGTGTACAGTCATCTCGGCTTAATTAAGTGAATACTTATGCGAATACGCCGCTAGCCCAAGGAATTTTCGAAGACCTTTGACATCGATTGGCACAGGCCAGTCGGTGATCGCCTTGATCTTTTCGGGATCAGGACGTACACCGTTCTTACCAATGATGCACCCAAGAATTGTATTTCGCTTGCTGCAAATATACACTTCTTGAGGTTTGCAAACAATTGATGCTTTCGCATGATTGTAAGAACCTGTCGGACGTGGTACCTATGAACCTCAACGTCCGACTTTCCATCCATAGCTCGACTATGGATGAATACGTCATCGAAATAACTCGGCGCGAATTCTCGTACTGGTCTCAACACATGTGATACACATCTGTTGAACGTGGTAGGGGCATTACTGAGCCCTTGTGGCATTACTAGCCATTCCCAGAGCATGCCGCTAGGCGTGCTAACTGCGGTATAGGGTATATCCCGTTCCCACATAAGGATTTGATAGAAGCCATCCATCAAATCCATGGACGAAAAGATGGTACTCTTTGACATACCATCAATGATTACGTCCTTCCTCGGTATCGGCGTCTGAGCCGGTACCGTTGCAGCGTTCAATTTGTTAAACACGTGCACTATCCACCACCCTCCTGTTGCTTTTCGCACACAGAAGGTCGGAGAGCTAGGTGGGGAAGTTGATTCCCTCACATGGCCCGCAGCTAAACGATCGGCAAAGAACTTGTCGATCGCAAGTACTTGTTCACGAGGCAGTGGCCACTGCTTCATGACACAGTACTTCGAGCCTGGTTTAAGCTCGACCTCGTGTCGAATACCTTTATCCTTCGGTAATTCGCACGGAACAGTTTCAGGGAATACATCCTTGAATTCAACCAAATCTTCATAGAGAGGATTTTTCTTGAGCGATTCCCACGATCAAGAGTCATATCGCTCAATTCGTGTCTTTTCATCTAGGACACTCTCGTCCATAGATGAACTACTGAGAACTCTCTATCTCTCAGTAAACACTGTTGCTGACCTTATGTCGGTTACACACTCGTCGTCAGCGACGAGTACGCAGATCTGCTTGACTTTGCCACTACACAGATCACGCAAGAACCTTTTATGTTCGAGCGTTGGCAACTGAGTGATCTCCGAAGTCAACTTCGGAGGCGCAATCAGATCAAGTGTATAAGCGCCTACACTTGATCCGTTATTGACCATGACATGCAATGTCTCTGTCATTTCCTGGGGACTTATTCCCTCAGGCTTCGAAGGACTTATTCCTTCGGCTTCCCTGGGACTTATTCCCGCGGGTTTCGGGGAACTTACTTCCGCCGTATTTGTAATATCGGGACTTATTCCCTTAACTTCCTCTAGCTGGGGTTGCGCAACCACAGCGAGATCCTCTACGAAAGACTCTCCAGTCGATCTAGGATTATCGTTTCGCTTAACCTGAGCGATCGACTGTTTCTCTTCTAGATGTTCCCCGCTAGGGATACATCTTTGTCCCAGTCCACCCGACTTATTCGAGTGGTGGACCTTCGGCGCAGCCTGTGTTTCCTCACAGCCGCCGGGACTTTGCTCCGAAGTGTAACCGTTTGGTACACTAAGGTTTTGTGCAGTCGTACTAACGACCATACCACAAGTGAGGCCATCGCACTCACTCGTAGTACATCCACACACTTGTGGACGCTCCAAAACGTTCAGTAGATGGCCATCTGATGAACAAGCGGCAGGCATCGTTACTGTTCGATGTTGCCAGTTTACACGTGGTTCGTACCTTCTGAGCCACGGTATTCCAAGGATGACATCAAATTTGTCATCCAGATCCAATACGATAAAGTCATCGTCATATTGGGTATCTTCTAGCGTATAGTGGATCTTCACTATACGCTTCATGACGGTTACAGATGCGCCTGTCGCAAGACGTACCGTCATCCTCGTAGGAGGTGTGTCACATTCACTGAACTTGAAGTGACCATCTTCTAGCGATTGGCGTCGCACAAAATTGTTGGACGCCCCACAATCGACAGGAGCTCGAGGGGACAACTTATTTGTCACTTCGAGTTTCAAGGTAATGAGTGAGATCTCATTACCTAGAGCAGCAACGCACAACGTTTGTGTGTTGGGAGCAACCTTCATCAAGAGGCCTACAAATTCTCTTGACGTTGCTAGACCAGTAGGGTGCTCCGCACCTACTGATCCTGTCCATTTTTTGACGGTCCATCCCGTTGTTGCGTCTTTGCACCAACGGCGGACCCGCGTCCCTGCCCCTTTCTCATGGGAGGACGGTCACTACGCCCAGTGTTGCGAGACACTGGACGAGGGGCACTACACTTGTAAGCGTAGTATCCTGTCTTCTGACATCTGTTGCATTTCTGCAACTTCTTGTAGCCTGTAGAGCGAGCCTTCTCGCTCTCTACATAACAGAGTTCCATCGGCTCTGGACCTTCGTTGTCATATCGTCTCGGTTGACGATATGATGTCGAGCTGGCGCGAGCCTGTCTCAGACTGAAGTCTTCCTGCTCCGCAATGGAAATGGCTTGTTCTAGTGAATCTAGTTCAAGCCGGAACAGGTGAGTCTTGACGGGACCATCCGCAAGACCCTGCATGAACACCGAAACCAACGTGTGTTCATCCACCGGATTGGAACTTATACAACTCGTGAGATGTCGTATATGTTGCGCGTAAGCGTGCACATCACGCTTACCCTGTTTGAGCTTCAAGAGTTCGTTTCGAGCCCTGAACTCAGCTCTAGGCGGTTCAAACGTTTGTCTGAGCCGCGACTTGAAGACTTCCGACGACCCACACACATATGGGTCGTGCAACTTGAGCCCCAGTGCCCAAGTCTTGGCACGTCCTGCCAGATTTGACTGGGCAAATGCAACTTGCATATCCCCGTCGTTGATGCGACGCGCCCTTGTGGCGTCATCCAATTCGACGAACCATCTCAAGAGGGAGTCCTCTTCGACTCCACTGCACTCGGAGATGTCAATCTTCAAAGTCTCGGGTCGACGCGAGTGCATCGACCCACCAGCAGCAGCCTGCTGCTGTCTCAACAGTTCAAACTGTTGAGCACCCTGTTCTCTCAACAACTCTGCTTGTTGAGAACCTTGTTGGTGAAGCAAGGCTACTTTCTCGCGTTCTGCGTCAAGTTCATTTTGAATGAACTTGGCGATAGTAGCATGTTGGGCATCTCTATTGAGAGCCTCTAGCATGACGCTAACAGCATGGATGCCCATGGTCGAACCCATTCGTTCAACCGCATCCCATTCGACATCGCTCAAATGGGAGTAGCTGTCACGCGTAGCGTGAAAGCTTTGGTCATCTTCATCATCCAACATATTCATGTTAGATGTGAACGTGGTCCTTGGACGGACTACGAAGTGCTACCAGGTGTAACGGGGCACCCTGAAGCTTGTACTGGTGACAGTAAAAGCTACTTAATCTGATGACAGAATAAGGCGGTGCCTCGGAACTTCACGTACACTCGTACGTGCAGAGGAAGACGGTAAGAAGAAGCGAGTACTTGGTTAAAGAAAAAAATAGAACTGTATTCAGCATAGTTAATGTCTGCAATAAATTATTAGTAAAAAGTAGAACTGTATTCAGCATAGTTAATGTCTGCAATA